AATAAGTCATCAGGACTTAAACTCAACTGATCTGATTAAAAAGCTCATGAAATGTTCCTTTCTGTGTCTTAAAATCCAGGATTCTGTGACGACCTTGGTATTAATATCTCCCTCGCTTGGTGGTTTCACCTCACACAAACACAGGAGTGGAAGTGTTCCTTATGAAAGCATTCGTTGAACATTATTGATTCGGTTCCTGGAAGATCAGACATTTAATTAACATTGATTCATAGATGTGCTCATACGGGGAGCGAATTAGTGTCCCATCGCTTGGGAACGTTCCTCTAACTTATTGCGTGTCTGCGGTTTCCTTTATCTCCGCCCGCCTCCCCGTCTGTAACGGGGGCAGGAATATAATGGTGTTCTGTTAAAATGTGGAAATAATGGAGGAATATCATCACGTTCATGAATTGTAGATTTCCGCACTTGGTAATAAAGTCTCTGAAGGAAAAGTTCTTGCCGTGAAAGCACAGTTCAGGGTGGAATCTTCTTCTTGTTCTGGATCATTTTGGAGGCAGTTAACGGGTTCTCCCACATCCTGCTGTAAATCTACCTGTCAGTTTAATAACTTTATTGGACGAGAACGAGGTTTTCTTTCATCTATTTAATCTGGAGTCTTGTCATTATTATGGTTGAGATGATTAGGTCACTTCTGCAGGTTTTGTCTTTAAGAATGAGCTTTCTAGTCCATTCTTAGTTTGTTTAAACGGCCTCGCACCGTGTTTTAATCTTTTATATTATCTTTTATCTGTTTCCTCCATTATAATCTATCTTTTTATGTATTATTCCTTTTATTTACCTATCGTACCTCAGCTGCAGCTCGGTTTTCATGCTTTGTGGTTTTCATGTTTTGTCTTAATGCTGTGTTTTACTCCTTATACTGTGTATTCTTGTGTTGCTAATCCATCTGCTTTACTTTAAAAGCAGTTCCTGTTGTTTTAAGATTTACACTGGGGACAAAGTATGCAGCATCTAAACATCAAGGCAGGTTAACAGGGTTTGAACGGCATGCTGTGTTCACAAAATCACCAAAACATTCATTAGAGCCAGAAGCTGGGAAAAAAAAAATAGAGAGAATTGTCAGATTTTGAATTTTCTGAAGGTCCTTGAACTACACGTCTGTAATGTGCTGTTTGGTTTGGAAAATTAGTCAAATCTCAGCTTAAAATATGACTTTTAAACAAAACTGTTTTGTTCTTCGTGTCACAGTTTTAGAAAAAATGACAGAAATTAAGTCTGATTGTTGTAATCAGATTCAGTGAAAACCAAAAACATCTGTGCTTCTTGGCACAACTGTGAGACTATTAGTGACTCAGCTCCAGACAGCAGTCACATGACAAGAAAATCCAAGACTTTTCTCTTTTTTTTTCTTCTTTTTGGGCTAAATGGATTTTTGCAGGATGTGTTTACACAGAGCAGATGTGAGACAAGTACAAAGGAAAATTAGAAATCTAAGTAATAAAATATCTGTAGTACGGAGCCCGTCTGGTGACATCGATAAGAAAGAAAATAACTTGTTCCCAAGCATTAGTAAATCGTGGTCACGAGATATTAATGTGTGGGAACGACATAATTATCACACAGTGTTTCATCACAAGAGATCACAGGATACTGCTGTAGTTCATCCCAAGGTTAAAATAAAATGAAATCAAATCAAAATGCTCCATGTTTCATGCAAGTCCGCCCGTTAATCGACAGCTGGAATGAGCGCACTGTGAAATTTGCTCCACGACTTCTCTTGTTTCTTCATATTAGTAATGCGAGGCCACAATTTAACCATGTCGTTCCCACACATTAATAACTGGTGGCCACGATTTACTAATGCATGGGAACGAGTTATTTTTATTTCTTATTGATGTCACCAGACGGGCTCCGTACTATGGTATGCTTAGTCACAAATAACTAGAAACTGAAAAAGTAATAATAAATAAAAATTTGCTAAATTGTAATTTAGTGAAATAAGACATTGCTTTGAATTGTGGTTGAAAAGAATTATTTTTAAAAAATAAAATAAAGGACAAATCAGAGCCCTTTGCTGATGAGCAGTGGGCCAGAACACCTTTTTAAATATTTCTGTTGAACCACAATTCAAAAGTATTAATAAAAGTATAAGTTTATTTATTATTACTTTTGTCAATTCCAACTTATTTCAGTGACAGCTGTTTTTTTCCTTCTTTAATGGGAGGGTATGAATACATTTGAGGACACCTGTATATGAAATGTGGATGTTGTACAAAGACAACAGGAACATCAGCAGCAGGACGAATAATTCCTGGAGTGGAGACGACAATCAGACCTGTAGTAGTTCACATTTTTGTCCTGACAAACCATGTAGTGTTTAATATAATTTTAAAGCTACGTGGATGCCAGAGCAGCCGCCCCAGTGTGTGCCATACGTATGGTGTCAGCTCATGTGTCAGCTTCGTGTCATACTGAGCGTCACAGCGTGGCCCCGAAACTGGCAGAGACAGCAGGTGTGTTTACAGACTTGGTTGAGTTCTATGATAATTAACAAGGATTGTCACCAGTTGATTTTTTATTTCTTATCACTCTGTCTTTACAGATCTAATTAGACACATTGAGAGATGCACTCAGTCTCACGCGTTCATGCAAGAGCTCGTGCAGATATAAACAACACAAACCTACACGAGGCAACACAAGTGTAACGTGACGACCTTCGAGTTCATGTGGTTTTTAGCCTCTTGCACGCTCCTGGTGTGTTTCTGATGAATGCACACATCATTATCATCAGGCCAACACTGGCTGTCTTGTTTCCTCACTGGCACAATTGAACCATTGAAGGATTAAGCATAAAATTCAGACAATCTTCTCCCTGAAAATGTTTTATATCTGACTCTCATTTTTTTGGCCGGCTTTGAGTTGTAATTATCCGAATGACAGCTGTGTTGAGCATCTTGAAAATGTCCAAACCTCTCCAAAATTGCTTTTATGATAATGAAAAATGTTATGTTTGTAACACTCCCAATGTGCCACATCATTATTTTACATAATTAGCATCACTGAATCATGTCTCCGAGCAGCGCTTCCAAAGTGCCAAAATGATGTCGCTGTAAAACCAGACCGTTATTCATCCAGCACACCAAAATCAACGCTGTATGCAATTATTATCATTTTTCTTATAACCGTGCTCCCCCAGCCGTCACCACGTATTAAATATACCACACACGTATGGCGTTTTTAAAAAAAAAAGTTTATTCTTCATTTACAGAACACAAAAAAACCACTGAAACCCTGCATACAAATCTACAAAACATCCAAAAATATAGAAAACATTTGAATTTACACAAGATGCACTTTATGAATAATATGAAACGGTGATAATGAAGTAAATCAGAGGCACTAAGGCCCATAACAGTTGGCAGTAAATCCATTTAATACAAAATAGTGTGCCAAATTGTTTATCACTTTATGAGTGTATAATTAGTTTTTTCAAGTTTCGTTTCCAAACCTCATTCAGCTACGAGGACGTAAAACCCAGAGTGTGAGGTCACTGCGCTTCACTTTGCTCTACATAAAGGTTTAATACTGTATTTCTGTAAACATAGATTTCTTTAAAATGTGCACAGCAAATATAATAATATATGGTGAAGTCGCCCACGAGCGTGTGATCAACAAAAAACACACATCTGGAGCAAATCCCATCTTTCAAGTCTGCGGTGATGTAATTTCAGTGTGGCGAGGAGGAGCTGATGAGGTAAAGTGTAGTAGAAATACTGAGGTACTGTGGCATCAAAAAAAAAAACACCACCTCATATGAGTTTCTAATCACCGTCTGCAATCGATGCTGCATCCTCTGGCTGAGTCACATTACACTGGTTTTGGAAATCAAATCGAAGAAATCCATCTGAGGATGATAAACGCTGCCTGAAACCGCAGAGGCTTGATCCTGAGGTAACTGGAAATGGCAAATATTAGCTGAGATGCTAAAAACACAAGCCCGCACCTACCACGGAAACTAAGAGAAGCGAGGAGCTAAATAACCGCATCATATTTCAAATGTCAAAACCAGTATGAATGTCACAGTGATGGAACCAGCGCACATGTAAACACGTTCAGCAGTGGTGTGAATAAACAGTGCACAGCATCAGTTATTACACCCAGCAGTTTGCAAGTAATAATTTCCAGTGATGTAAAAAAAGAGTCTGAGATGCTGATAAAAAAAGAGGATGACATGAGGTATGCGTTCACACAAGTCTTCCAGGCAGAGCTACGCAGATCTGTATCCTACTGAGGATGCTCAATCTGCTTCTGGGTGTGAGATTTCCTCTCAGACCTTTGAATGATGGTCCAGTTTTCAGTCTAAGAAGACCTGATTCGATTAAATGTATTACGGCACTGTAATCGGTCCTGGCAGACGTGGTTCTATGATAAGATTTGCGAGTGAAATTGTCTTTTCTGTGAGAGCTTGAAGTCAAACATTACCCACTGTCACTCTGCCGCAGAGCAGTTTCTAAAGCTGGTGGGTCAAAAAAACCACCATAGTGTCTCTAAAGCGGTAACTGCAGCACCAAACCAGAACCAGGAAACATGGTGAACACCCACTGCAGTCGGTCCGAGCTGCACAGCAACTTTCTGATTCCTGTAAATCATGCAAGAGATGAACCCTAAAATAAAAATAAAATGTGCCAGATATTTAAGAGTTTTGGAGGCATTTTGAGGAAGTGGAAGAGATATTGAGGCTTTAAGTATATCTTATTGTAAAAGATTTATCCTTTTGATGTAGATTTCTCTTCCAGTTCTATTCCCTATTTTAATATCTATTATCTGAATATATTGTCTGCTGAATGTAAACTGTTTGGACAGGCATGTTAACAACTCTAACCACCATATGAGGTTGGCTACCTCGGAGATTTGGACAAATAAGGCTGCCATTTGTTCCCTAGTGGTGATTAAGGACACGCTAATGGAAGGCAAATCACACTGAAGTTAAAGGTAACTCTCTCCATCGAAGGCATCCGTACAGACTTTATTCCAGTAACCTAAACACAGACGTTATTACTTCGATGCCACTCGCTGTAGCAGTTCCTTAATGTAGTGAAGCAAAGCGTTTTCTGACACACGCTGCAATAGACCGGCGACTTCCTCTTGCAGACCACACACGCCCTCCTGCCGGCGGTGGCCCGGCTCCTGGAGGCCACGTTGCTCATTTGTTCTACAAAGTAAGCAGGAAGGTGACCTAAACCCGGAGCGTCGGAGGCTGGTGGAGCCTCGGCGGAAGGAGGCGGCGCTGCGGAGGGAGAGCCGGGGGCGGCGTCGGGGTTGGAGGGAGGTGAGGTGGCGTCGGACGGGGAGGCAGGCGGGACTTTGAATGGAGAAACAGGCGGTCTTTTAAAGGGAGAGGCAGACATGAAGTTTTGCGGACCTGAGCGGCGCGGAGTAGAACCGATCTCGGCCAGGGACAAGATCAGCTGTTCCCTGAAGTTCTTTTGCGTGACTAAAGGCCGTTTATGCAGTTTGCACATTTCTTTGTAGAGAATGAAGGCGTTCACCGTGGCTATGTCCACTAAATGATAAAACAGAGTCTTGTACCATTTCCTGGTCTTGTGAATCACGTTGTAGTAGCCGATGAGCGCGTCCGACAGGTCCACGCCCCCCATGTACTGGTTGTAGTCTCTAATGCAGCCTGGAATCGGCACCAGCTTCACTGTCCACTGTCCGTCTGCGTCTTTCACTTTGCGCTTTGCCATGTCGTTGCTGTACGCCTTGTGAATCGTGGTGCACATCATCACCTCCCGGGTGTCGAACCACTTCACGAACAGCAGCTGTCCTTTCCTGAGCCAGCGGATGGTTCCTCTCGGGGTTTTCGTCGGCCTGTTGTTCTTTTTCGGCTTGGGATAACCGGCTACGTTGGCACGAACGGTGCCACATGCCCAGATTTTTCTCTTGAGCAGGTCAAGGAAAAGAGTTGGGCTGGTGTAGAAGTTATCCACATAGAGCTTGTATCCTTTACCCAGAAATGGGATGTTCAGCAGCCTCATGACAGCATCATAGCTCAGCCCCTTCCCTGTGGGCTCACTTTCTTTCCCCCCGTACACAAAAAAGTTCAGGGTGTAGCCGCACACGGAGTCCGCCAACACGAAAAGCTTGAAGCCCCATTTAGTGGGCTTGTTTCTAATGTACTGCTTGAGCCTGATCTTGGCTTTGCTCGCCACCATCCGCTCGTCGATGGAGATGTGCTGGTAGGGATGGAAGAAGGTGTGGCAGGCCTCCAGAATCTGCTCATACAGCGGCTTTATTTTGCAAAGCACGTCGTAACTCGGCGTCCCCTTTTTTTGGTCATTGGCTGCTTCGACAGCCGGATCGTTCATGTGCAGGCTGCGGGAAATGGCGAGGAAGCGCCTGCAGGGCATGACGGAGGCGGGGAACGGCAGGTTGAAGAGCCGAGAGCCTCTCCAGAAGTCTCTGAGAGTTTTCAGCGGCGCGATGCCCATGTAGAGGACGATGCAGATGAAGGAGTACATGTCGGCCGCTGTGACGGTCACGTGTCTTTCCTTCTGAACTTGGGATTTCTTTTCCCCGTAGGCGTTGGTGTTTTTCACCAATGTGTCAATCACCGTCGTGGAGAAGAAGAGCTGGAAGAGCTCGAGTGGCGTGTAATCCGCTGTTCTGTTCAGCTGCGGCCCAACATCCCTTTCAGGTCTGAAATGCGGCTGAGGAGGCTCAGCGTCCTCCTCGTCAATGTTACGCCACTGATCTTCGTCGTCGGCTTCATCCTCATTTGCGAGACGTCTTTCCGCTTGCTGCTTCCCACTCTGAGATTTCCTGCAGGGTCTGGAGAATGTCTTGCCGGCGTTGGGAGAGGAGGAGTTTTTTGGGGGTGTAGATTCGTAGTGGATCTTCTTTCTCCGGGGACTCTGTTCCAATTTCTTAGATGCAGATTTGAGGGGTGACGACAGTGGAGACGACAGTGGAGAAGATGCGGAACGGCGCTGCCTCCTGGAAGCTCTTCTCTTCGTGGGCCGACTTTTCCCCTCCTCATCCGAACTGTCCTCCTCAGTGAAGGTTTCCCTGAACATAAAGCAGATAGTCGAGGGTTAATTAAAGACGAGGTGGTGCTTTTATCACTTGCAACTTAAACCTTGATCTACGAGCAAGACAGAGTGAAACAAACTGTGTATGATGTGATTCTAAATGATCTCCTTAAAAAGGGTCAACAGTATGAATTAGAGCAGTTTTCTGAAGGGTTTATAAGAGCAGCTGTAAAAATATGAATGTATGGCTGCCACTTCAACTCAGCAGAACTGAGTCATGGCAGCATGTTTTTCACATTGATGCAGAACAACATGCTGCCGTGACTCAGTTCTGCTGAGTTGAAGTCGTGAATTTGCCTTAAAACCCACTAAGAAACTATTTTTATCAGGTATTTAATTATCTGGAATGGTTTCTTAGTGGTTAGCACAGTTGTCTTGCAGCAAGAAGGTCGCCGGTTCGCGTCCGGGATCTTTCTGCGTGGAGTCTCCATGTTCTCCCCGTGCAGCGTGGGTTCTCTCCGGGTTCTCCGGCTTCCTCCCACACAGTCCAAAAACATGTTGAGGTTAATTGGTGATTCTAAATTGTCTGTAGGTGTGAATGTGAGTGTGCTTGGTTGTCTGTCTCTAAGTGTAGCCCTGTGATAGACTGGCTACCTGTCCAGGTGAACCTGCCTTCACCCTGAGTCAGCTGGGATAGACTCCAGCCCCCCATGACCCTAGTGAGGATTAAGCGGTGTATAGATGATGGATGGATGGGTTTCTTAGTGGGTTTTAAGGCAAATTCCCTACATCAAAATACATAACAATATTTCAGTACAAACTCACATATAATGTGATGCAGAGTATTTTCCACACTGCAGCTAAAAATGAGTTGGACTGGATGATATGCAGATAAAATAAGAAAAACATCGTCTTGCCATTATTTTTGACAAATATTGCAATTGAGTCATGATTTTTCTGGGGAAGGTATTTTTTAAAATTTCTTTTACTTTAAACAGACATTACAGTGTTTTTGCAGCAGTCATTAGCAAACATGTCCCTTTAAGTCTAAAAATTTCATCGGTTTGAGCAGCTGTATTGCGTCACAGTGCCAAAAATTGCAGGTCCTGTGATTCAGGTTTTGCACTTGGCCGTGCTGTGATTTCAGTATTATTTTGAGAAATGGTTCAGCCATCGTTGCCAGTTTACACACACCTCAGTAATGCAGTCTAATACAACAGCCCTGCAAAAGTTTGGAGAGCTCCAGCAGAGGTTAAAAACAAGATCAATCAATCTGTCAAAGGACAGCAAAAAAATAAATAATTAAGTCAAGAGCATAATCTGCAGATTAATCAATAATGAAAACTATCATTAGTGGTTGGGTTAGTCAAATGAAAAAGCAGCACAAGTTCAGATATTCTGACTTTTAGTTCCCACTGTAGGTCAGATTTCAAAAACAGTGGATGCGGCTCAGCGACATCTGTCGTTTGACCCTCCCGGCCTGGTCAGTGTCCACATCTGTCACCTCCAGGCTGTCATGCAGCCTCGCACAGATATAAAAACTGCAACTGCACTGTGAGACTTCTTCCTCATGTAGAGTCTTCAAGTCCAAGCTGAGATAAACCTGATTCTGTCGTCAGGGGATTAAAAAAAAAAAAGAAAAAAAAAAAAACTGAACAAAGATGGATTGAAGCCAGTGAGGACATCATGCAAACATTTTTACAGACTTGGCTGCACTGAACTTTATATGCAACAATAAAAGATTGCCCTTTTGAAAGGACGGTGATGTTATAATGATAATGATGCACTGCTTTGTTCTTTCTAAAATCACTTCTCATAAGGATGCTTGTACACCTAAACTGACCGAAACATTTTATTTGCATGTAAGCAGTGGAGTTGCCATGCTTTATTATCGTATTTATTGAACTTGTATGCGGTTGATAGATCTGCCCAGAGTGTATTTTGCACAGGTGCCCACACGCACTCCCCCAGGCCTGGAACAAAGTGTCTTAGTAAGACTACAAAGCGATCATAATATAGAGATAGAGATACTTTCTACCGCGGTGTGCACACCCAAAAACCTGCACAAAGCGGAGGATTCCTGTGCGTAAAGTGAAGACAACTTCATGACAAACTCTGTTAAACGCCAACAAAGTACGTGCAGCGTACAGCTTTGTTAATGCGTGGTCCTCGGGAGCTTGCGGCAGGTTTGTGCACAGCTCAGTCCGCCGCTGTGCAACTCCTGCAAGAAGAACAGGACAGCAAGTGCACAGAAAGAGCTGCAGCGAGAGCGCACGACTGTACCGGACGCGCCAGGTACAGTCAGACGGACGTTCGCTGCAGCTCCGCTATGCGCATGAGTTTAGGATGCATATGAACCCTGAGCGTGTCTGACGTGGTTCAGGAGCTGCATACAGAGTTGGACCGGAGCCAGCAGTGTACTCACTTCTCCGATCCGTGACCCAGCCCCCTCGGAGTGTCGTCCTCGTCCAGGCTGCACTCGCTCTCAGAGTCCGAATCTGAGGGCAGCTGCTCGAACTCATCCTCAGACTCGGACAGAAACATGACTGAAACCGGCTGCCTGTATGTTCCTTCAGTTTAAACGCTGGGTAACCTTTCCCCCCTCTGCGGATCCTCCCACTTTCACTGACAAAAGATTCGCTTTTTACGCGGGTCTCCGGTCCGACAGGATGTCCCGTCTCCCGCGCGCCATATATGGGTAGAGAGGCAGCTCCAATTGTGGCCGTTTTCCGCCGTGCAGATTTATAACCTGGAGGACCTGGCTGTAAATAAAAGTCATGCAGTTTGAAAAAAAAGAAAGAGCTCCCGGCACGTTACCTTAACTGTGGGCCTGTTTAGGGTTTGTTTTCTCCTTCAGCTGCAGACTGAGCGCACCTTCATCCACCACAAAACACCTGAGCAAGACTTTTCTAAAGTTCCATTAACCTGTGAAACCTCCCTTCTGCAGCAGACACTTAACACTGAGGGATAATATTTAATATAATTTTTATTTTCTCAATTGCATGTGCAGTATCAGTTTCATTTCCATTTGCAGTATTTCATGATAATGTGCACTATTCAACATGATGTGCAATATCACTTAACTGCTCCACTCTGCTTGCCAGTATTACTTCTCCTTTTCTATTCCAGTCCCTTTTTTAAAGCTTACAGAAGTTTATTTTATTTTTTTGCTAAGTGTATCGTGTGTAATATCTGGCACAAAAATTCTTAATAAAGTTCTGCCTCATCCGTAATGATTCACTTATTAGCAGATAGAGTTTCTGTGACACACTTTGTTCTAATAAATGTGTTTAAAATTCTAAAGTTTTGGATAATTGCAGAAATAAACTGAGAGTTGCAGCTTTTGATTTTTAATTGACTATTAAAAGAACTGTGCTGGGAGAGTTCTTGTTTTGAAGTTCTTGCTTTTTTTTTTTTAAACTAAAAAACATACAAGAACTCTGCCTAAGGGGAGAAAATTCCACCCGTACAGATCGACCCAAAATCCAGATAAAGTTCATTAGTATTAAGAGCATTAATGTCAGTAATACCACTTTTTCCCCCTCCAATGAAATTATTAGAATAGTTGATGAAAAGATGGCTTTGGAGATGCATGATGGGAAAAAACCCTGCAACCCCTTGAATATTTTATTCAGTCCTCAAAACACATTTTAAGAAATGCAATGAAAATATGTTGATTGTTGATTACTGTTGGAAGCAAAGCGTGCTGTTGGTAGATGGATTCTGTTGTTAGTTAATTTATCGGCTATGAGGCAAAACATTCAGAGGCCCTTATTGCTTTAATCTTGTGCGATATAATCATCATCTATCAGTTTTAATGTTTTTTTTTTCTCGTACTAGTGAGCAGTTTTTTTTTTTTATTACTTCATGCAGGGAGTGAGTCTTTGATGTGTGCAGCCGTACTATTATCCGAGGCAGCGCGTTTTGTCAGCTGCGTGGGCCAAACGTCCTCCACTGATATGTGTTTGGAAGTGCAGCGATATCATAATCGCCTGCGTTATTCACTGTGAGTCCGACCGGGCGGCTGCTGGGGTGACCTCGCTTCACCTGCCCCATTAAAAGTCAGAAGACGGTGGTGTTGGCCTCAGTGAAGAGGCTGAATAAACTCCCACTCGCTTCACCAGCCTCAGTCCCGGAAACAGAGCGACGGAGCGAATGAAGGAGCCCAAATGATGCTATTTATTCATCAGGCGGAGCCCCAAACGAGGTTCATTACGGGAGGTCACCGTCGGAGGGTTTTGTCCGCCTCCTTCGTGCGTGTTTTCGAGCAAAATATGAAAGCAGGTAAAGAGTCAGTTCACGGAAATCAACCGAGATGCCAGATGGCCATTTAGTGGAGGTGAAGTCAACTTTGCTCGGGTTTGTCAGAGCATTAAAAATACAAACAATCCTCACCATGCTTTGTGCAGAAAATAGTGCATTTGAAAGCTTTGCTGCTGCACTGATGCTGATGCTGTTAATGTGTGATCGTATTGGAACATCCATCCATTATCTAAACACCGCTTAATCCTCACTGGGGTCTGCAGCAGCTGACTCAGGGCGAAGGCACAACCAAGCACACTCACATTCACACCTACGGACAATTTAGAATCACCTCAACATGTTTTTGGATTTTGTGGGAGCAGGAGAACCCGGAGAGAACCCACGCTCCATGGGGAGGACATGCAAACTCCACACAGAAAGATCCCGGGTGTCCTCACCAGGACGTGAACCGGCGACCTTGCAGACAACAGTGCGAACCACCGAGCCACCTTGCAGCCCCATATCGGAACAGCGTTACATAATTAAAGACATACTGTATGGCTTATAAGTTTCCTTATAAGTTTCCTCTTCGATAAATATTTTCTCAAAATTGCCACTTCACAGCACAACAAAATGTGCCAGCAGTAAACGCTTGTAAAAACTCCTCTCGTCTTTCTGTTTACAGCTCAAGTCATGAACGGGTCATGAATTATTCAGGCTGTCATAGCTGCGGGTTCAAATTCTGCAGAGTTTAAAGGTCCCATTTTACTCGCATTTCTGCCTTTTGTGAGTTTGTTTTTCATTGCACCGTGTCCCGAGATACTGTAAGTGTGCTTCATTATTTATTTATTTGGAAACGGTGGAAATTCTGCCGCGCTCGAGCCGTGCAGAAGGTGTGGCTCCGACGAGGTGCAAACTCTCGTAATGGGAACGGATCTGATCGAGTCAGTCGACAAACAACAGCAGCGTTTAAGTGTAAGTGATGCGAAATTATATTGTTTGTGATATTAATCGGTGTCACTTGTCGGTAATCGTTGATAAGTGTTGAGAAAATTAAAAATGCTCTAACAATCTGGCAGCAAAGGGTGATAGAAAATCTCCATAAAATGATAGAACAGCGCAACATTAAAAACACTCTTTCTACTAAAAATATTCTGTTATAAACAACACATTATAAAACTGAAAACAGTGAAAATCTGTTCAAGAAACATACTTTAATAGAATACTTACTGTATGTACCACAAATACAGTATAAAGCTGTTACAAGTGCATCTCATATTATTAGAATATGATCAATATTGTTCATCTGTCATTGCTCAAAAGGGGGAGAAAAAAAATTTCTATGTTGATTCTGTAAACATAAACTGAAATATTGCAAGCCTTTATTTGTTTGAACTTGGATGCTAACAGCGTACAGCCAACCCAAAATCAATCTCAGAATATTTCTGAGACATTGAGAATATTTCACAGACGGCCTCAGAGGTGTCAATCAAGGACCCCCAGACACTCCCTCACGGTCCTGAGGAGAGTTCTAATCAGCTAATTACCTCAAAACACCTGCAAAGAGCCTTTACATTCTTCATCTGGTTGAGGGAAGACAGCTCTCCAAAAGGAGGGTGAGACTCCAAAGTGCATTGCTGAAAGAGCTGGTTGTTCACAGAGTGCTGTGTCAAAGCATATGAATGGAAAGTTACCTGGAAGGAATGAAAGCGTGGTAGGAAACGGTGCACAAGCAGAAGGGATGACATCAGACTTGAGGGGATTGTCAAGAGAAGCAGATTCAAGAATGTGGGAAAGAGTCACGAGCAGTGGACTGAAGTGTCCAAGAAATGGTCCAGAAGTGTCGAGTTCCTGTTGTCGAGCTTCTCTGCAATACATCTAACAAGCGTCTTACCTGAACTAAGAAGAGAAAGAACCGGACAGAGTGAAGAGTCACAGGATCAAAGCTGCTAGAGGTTTCCAGTCAGTGATGATTGCCGTGTCATGTGCTGGTGTTGGTCCACTATCTGTAATCAAGTCCAATCTGATTTTGGAGCACTACATGCCTCCGTCTGCTGAAGAGCTTATTGGAGATGCAGATTTTGTCTTCCAGCATCTCCCCACACTGCCAGAACCACTCAGAAATGGTTCATGGACCATGGCCTTACAGTGCTAGACTGGCCATCCAACTCCCCAGATCTGAACCCCGTAGAAAATATGTGGCATATTGTCAAGAGGACGAACCAGACCCAACAGTAAAGAAGAGCTGAAGGCCGCTGTCAAGGCAACCTGGGCATCCGTTGCCCCCCAGCAGGGCCACAGGCTGATTGCCTCCATGCCGCGCCACATTGCTGCAGTAATTTTCATAATTCGATCCCCGACCAAGCATTGACGAAACATGCAGGGACATACTTTTCAGAGTTTGGATATTTCTGTATTATAAATCCTATCTTTAATTGATCTTTGTTTGAAATATTCCAATATTTTGAGATGGATTTTTCAGGGGGTTTTTATGAGCTGTTGTTCTCAAAGTTAAAACAAATAAAGGCTCGCAGTGTTTCAGTTTGTGTGTTCTGAGTCTTGAATATTTAATTTTTTTCACTTTGAGCAACGTCTGACGAAAGATATTGAACCTTTTTCACCGTATTATTATAATGTGAGATGCACCCGTGTAAACCTGCCAGAGATTCTTTCAGAGGTAAATATTGTAATTTAATCAAAAATGTTCCTCAAATGTTCCTTGTAACTACCTTAAAATGACAGCTATATAATGAAAGACTACCACCTGAAGAATGTCAGAAAATACTGTAAATGTAGCATCATTTGTGTTAAAAATAGAGAAATATTCTGTAATTAAATAAGAAAATCCCTCAATTACAGAAATGTTCAGATATCTGTTCTTTTTTTTCTACTGCTGTAATTTTTAAGTATTTTTTTTCTTTAGAACATTTTGTTGATATAATCAAACGTCAACAAATACATTAGATATCACATAACTTTAACTCTAACCTTCCTTTTAAATGTGCTAATTTACCAAATCATAATGTTTCCTCATCTTAACAATCTTGCACAACAACAACAACAACAACAAAACCCTCAAGATGTCCTCCTTCTTAACACCCACATATTAAATCTGTGGTCAATATAACATCTTATTTTTACACACTGTAGTTCAGTTCAAACACATTCCCAGAAACAGCAGTTTTGACAAATGGTTCATCACCAAATGTGCAACTGAGTGTGAGAATAAGTAGAAAATAACAGTTGAGAGCTTTCTGTTAAAGCACAATTAGAACGTGTATCACTAACCTCCTCTATGTTGT